ATTTCTTTCTTTTTTTTTTTTTTTGGTACCAGGGATTGAACTCGGGTCCTTGCACTTGTAAGGCAGGCCACCGAACCACTGAGCTAAATCCCCAGCCCCTTTGATTCATTTCTTAACCTCAGCAATCCTCTTTAACATTTCCCCCTTCCCTAAACTCTACTTTAATCTAGGCAAGGAGGCACACATCTGTAATCCTAACATTTTTGGAAGTGAAGGAAAGAAGATGGCAAGTTTGAGCCCAGTCTTGGCAACTTAGTCACTTAGTAAGACACTGTCACAAAATAAAAAACAAGAGAGTGGAGATACAGTTTCATGCAAACCTTCTGATTTCAGTTTCTAGTACCAAACCAAACCAAACCATACAAACAATAAAACTGTACTATACAATGCTACCAAAAGACCAGATGTTGCCATACCTACTTGATCCTGGCTCAGTTCTTTGTTGACTAAATCCTTCTTTCATACTTTAAACTCTCTCCTCTTTTGACTTAACATCATTATTCCTGCTGTAGACATAACAAATTACCAGAAACCTGGTGCTTGTAACAACATAAATTTAATATCTTATAGTTATGGAGGTCAGTAGTCCAGAATGGGTCTTGAAGGGTACAATCAACATAGCAACAGAGCTGAATCCCATCTGTAGTTCCTAGGGAATCTGCTGTCTTGACTTTTCATGCTCCTAGAGGCCACCTGCATTTCTTGTGTTCCCTTCTCCATCTTCAAAGTCCAGCTCTCCAACCTCTGCTTCCACTGTTGCATCTCCTCTCTGTTGCTAACTCTATTGCTTTCCTCTTATGATGACTCTGTGCTTATATTTGCCCCATTTAGATAATTCAGAATCATCACCTATCTATAAGGTTCCTTTTGCTACATAATGTAACCTATTCACAGAGTCTAAGAATTAGGATTTACAGCCAGGTGTGGTGGCACACAGTTGTAATCCCCACCTCCAGAGGCAGAAGGATTGAAAATTTGAGGCCAGCTTGGGCAACATAGTGACTTAGAGAGATCCTATCTCAAAATAAAAAATATAAAAGGGCTGGGGATTAGTCCAGTGTGAAGGGTTAGAGTTCAATCTCTGATACTGCTCCCCTCCAAGAAAAAGAATTAATTCCTCCATTCTATATCACTAATTTGCTTCTATTTAGCAACTTCTGGCTCCTTTTAAAGTAAGTAACATGTTGATATTCTCCAAAGTTTGGCTCAAAACTTTTCTCCTTGGTCTATAAAGTACTACTGAATAATTTTAGTAACTCCACTGACTTCATCTACAATTCAGATCCAAATGTCTTCATTAAAGACTTCTTTACCTTTTACCTTCTGCTGAGCTCCAAACCCATCTATCTTCCCAATAGTTCCCTTCACAAAGGCTGTCAAATACAATTCAGTTAAAACCGAATCCATCATCTTTCTCACAAACCTGCTCCTCTTCCCTAAGTAGGTGAGTGGTCTTCTCTCATGAGATTCTGTATGTTGCCATCTGTGCTCCCCTAAGAGTTTACAGAGAGTCACTGAGGTCAGCATCCTTTACCTGGCAGCCATGCTTATTCATGGCGTCCATCGCTCGTCGGACAGCGTCGTTCAATGGTTCACACGGCTCCACCTGTGTCTTCATATTGTGCTCAAAATATGGGCCTATCAGAAAGTAGTTTTCACCCCACTCATCTGCTGTTGTCTTGGCCTTTGTCTGAATCACAGTACAGATCCCTCCAACTGTTAAAAAGGCAAAAAAAAAAAAAAAAAAAAAAAAAAAAAAAAA